GGGCAGTGGTGGCACAGGCCTTTAATCCCAGCACTCAGGAGGCAGAGACAGGCAGATCTCTGTGAGTTCGAGGTCAGGCTAGTCTACAGAGCTAGTGCCAGGACAGCCAGGACTACACAGGGAAACCCTGTCTCAAAGAAAAAGAAAACAAAAAAATAAATAAAAACAGGACATATTTCAGCATCCATGTCAGGCAGCACAGAACTGTCTATTAACTAGCCCTGCAGGGGGGAATCTTACAACACCCCCCCCCTCCCTCCCTCCCTGCCTCCCTCCCTGCCTCCCTCCCTCTCTCTCACACACACACCCCAATGGACCGCCCTCAACACATAATTAAATCTTAAAATAAAACTTAAAATTCAGTCCCAAAAGATTACATACTGTGAAATTTTATTTATAACAGTCTTAAAATAATAAATTATAGAAATGGAGAACAGATATGTAGGGGGAGGAGAGAAGTGGGCACTGTTATGTAAGAGAAAAATACCAAGTGTCCTTGTGATAGAATTTTTCTAGCTGTGATGGTTGGAAAAGGTTCCCACATATGTAGTAAGAAATGCACACAATAAAGAGGTACAAGTAAAATGGGGACTCTGAATTAAGAGGGTTATATTAATGTCAGTATTCTAGCTGTATTACCATTTTGCAATGGGAAAGCTGAGTTGGTTGCAGTATGCTAACATCAGTATTCTGATTGTCACACTCTTACAATTTTACAAGGTGTTACATTGATGTTAAAGGAAATATGGAATCCCTTTGTATCCTTTTACAACTACCTATAGAATCTATAATTATCTTGAAATTAAATTTTTAATTAAAAAATAACATTGTGGGCTGGAGAGAGGTCACAGTGGTTAAGAGTTAAGAGGCCTTGCTGCTCTTTCTGAGATCCTAACTTCAGTTCTCAGCATCCACACTGGACAACTTACAAGTGCCTGTAGTACTAGTACCAGGGCATCAACACACGGTGCATGCACATGCACACGCCATGGAAGAGAGAGAGCAAAATAACAAGAAATCTTTAAAAAATAACACTGTTGTCTTTGTTTGGGAGGAGGGTCAATATTGACAGTAACTTCCTTACTAATAAGATCTTATATAGTCATCTTAAGCATAATATTTTGATTCTAAAGTGAAAAATAGTTTTCATCTCCTATACTTTCTCCAGTGTTTGCCATATCACCCTGAAGAACTCTGTAACTAGAAAAAAGACTAAGGCTGGTTTTAAGATCATGTCAAGAGCAACGAGTTGGGGCTGAGGCTGTATGTAGCTTAATAGAGTACTTGCCTAGCACAAAGGTTTGATCCCCAGCATCACGTAAAACCTTGGGTAGTAGTGCATTCCTGTAACCCCACTACCCAGGATTCTGGCTATAAAGAAGGACTGATGTCTGTTAATGGGGACAGTAAACATTTGTGCCCCGTTTTCTTATCTCAGTGGCTAAAAAGGGTATAGGACAATGTCACTATGTTCAGATCTGCACACCCTCTGAACTATTAGTTAAAATACAAGAGAGGAGGTTAGACAGATGACTTGAAGGATCATTTGTTCATCTTGCAGGGGACCAAAGTACAGTTCCTAGAACCCATTCAGATAGCTCACAACTCCCTACATAACCAGCCCATTGGATTCGACACTCTTCTCACCTCCACAGTCCCCCCCCCCCCCACACACACACACACAGCTCACTCAAGTTCCAAATCTTGATAATCAGGTTACCCTGGCTCCATACTAATAATATTCCAACATATAAATCTTGAGCATACAAGGGTTCTTTTTCTTTCTTCTTTTTGCTACAACCACTGCATACCCCTGATCATTCTGCAAATTTTCTAAAGTCATTCCCCTTTATATATGTTTTTCTTTCCCATTCTATTAGAACACTACTAAACTTCAGGAACCTTTAAGCTTTCTCCACTTTCAAACTTAAAAATCTGTGCCACAAACTATTTTGGTGATACCTAGCAGACTCAGCCTCCTGAGGGCAGTTTCTTGGTCATACACACAAAAAAACTGACAATATTTTTTTAAAAGACTATTCCAGTTATAAAACCTGTTTTAAACAATCTTTTCAAGCTTTTCAGCTTCTCAAAGAATATATTACTTGCATTTTAATGACCAGTTTTTATTTATTTTGTCACATTATTTTGAAACAGCTGAAATATAGCTTTCATAATTAGATCAATAACTTTACCCCATACCAAAAAAAAAAAAAACCCTGAGACATTTATGCATTTGCCCTCAAAGCCTAGAATTTGGTGGCTAAGATACCCACTGAAGTTAACTAAACCACAATTTCCTTCTCTAACACTTGCAAACATTAGGCGAATCAGTCCTCTCCATTATTAATCTCAACCATGAATTCAATAACCATTCATCCTGTTTGGTTTTCTACCAATCTTCTATAGAATATATTCTATTAAAATAATTGTCATTTCAAAGATCAAACCTTCAAAGTACAACTTCCTTTCTATACACACTTTCCTCCATCTTTCATTCATTTATTTTTGAGGCAGGGTGTCTCTTTATAGTCCTGGCTGTCCAAGAACTCTTTTTGTAGATCAGGCTGGCCTTTTGCCTCTGCCTCCCTTTTTCATTTTGTTTTATTTTGTTTGAGATGGTTTCATTGTGTAGCTCTGATCATTCCACACACTAGACAAATACTCTACCTCAGGGGGAAAAATGCATTCTTCAACATGTGCACATGTAGTGCATACATGTATGTGCATATTTATTATTTAGTTTCTGCATACTTGTGTTTGTGCTGAAATGTACAAACACATGTGTGTACCCGGCTACTTGTTTTTTTTTTTAAGCTAAAAAGTAGAGCTGTCAGTTTGAAACATCAATTATTTGGTTCTGAAGGTACTGTCAAGTACCTCTGAACATTGCCCCCCCCCAAGAAGCAATTTTGAGATGTGGAGAACAGCAAATAAGCCAATACAGTGACAAATATGTATGAAGACACAATAAAGTCAATTATTTTGTTCTCTAAAACAATAAAGAAAAGCAAGTATTTGGGGCTACATTATAGCCTCCCCTCCACACACCATAAGTTACTTCCCTGCCACCAACCCCTTCACCAAGTACAGCTAGTGTTAAGGAGCAAGTACAGCTAGTGTTAAGGAGCAAGACAAAGTGGAGCCTCTATGACACCTTGCTATTTTCTGTGAGACCTGCTAGACTTCAAATAAATCCTGAGATCTTCCTAGATAACCTTGTAACAGATCTTGTACTTAAGGTAGCTCTAGTTGATATCAGTTCCCTGCAACAAAAATCAAACCTTCTGAGAGGTAGAAACAAACTGTTAGCTCCCTCAAGATGAAGATGAGCTTACTTATGTCTGTACCCTTAGTACCAGGAAAAGAGAGGCTATTCAAATTTATCTCTTGTCTAGCCTTCAAAACGTTAGGTGGAGGCTTAACAACACAGGCTGTCAATCAACCAACCAAGAAGCTTTGTTCTAAAAGAAGTAGCAGAGAATAGTTCCCAAATGAGACAATCTTATTTTCTGAATGAGCATTATCTACATATTTGACCAGTCTCAAACTCCTATCAATTCATGGCTATTAAAGCATAATTCCAATCACTGAAATTAGTAACATTAAGACCTTTCAAACTTTGTACCACTCCTTGTAAACTCACAATCAGGTTACATTTACTAGTGTATCAAACAAGAAAACAAAACTTTTAGAAGAGGTTATCTTCCTTATATCCATTCTCCTTTTCTGTGACCCTATTGGGGCAAAAAAATTCAGAGCTATATCAGAATATACTACACACACACACACACAAACGCACGCACACACACGTGCACGCTTACACACACTTTACAAAACTACCTTGCACACAAATTCAAAAAATAAAAATATTTGAAAATTATCTTTAAATGCCATAAATGGAAGCAAACTGAACCCCACTGTCATATCTTATCTTTCTGTCCCCAGCTTGGCTCATACTTTAAGTACCATTAACTAAGCTGGCATCGATACAGGTGTGATTACTCAATATTCTTTCTCAATAATAAACTTCAGGACTGGAAGTGCCCCTCCTTTTGGACTACATTAAGCAGCCTAAGAATTACTAGGAATTGCTGTTCTTCCCCAGCTGTAAAAATACAAGAGAAAACAGTGAGATTTTGTCTGTATAGTGGGAGCAGGAAGCAAGACTGGGGATTGGGAGCTTCATGCATGGGAGGAAACGAGCTGCAGCCCTAGCCTTCTTTGTTTTTCTTCATTAAATCTTTACAGTTGCATCCAATGTATGTCTCATTCCATTCTCATACACATGTTCACTATCCTTTGCTCTAACTCACAGCACTCTTCCGCTCTCCCTCTCTGGCTGCTGCTTCCCCTTTAAACAGCGGCCCTCTGTTGTCATTATCACAGGTATTCTACTAGCCCTCCCCACTCCCTTGGTTCTCATTTTCTTACTCAGACTTCACACTTCACTTTTAGGAATTAAAAAAATTAGCTTAGAATAAGCAGCTGATTATTTACAAATTAGAAGACTCGGGCCTGGGGACATAGCCTAGTGGTGAACAGAGTGCTTGCTTAGGACAAGGAAAGTCCTGCGTTCACCACACACATCAACCAGATCTGGGGGTGCACGGCGGTGATCCCAATACTTAATAGCAGAGACAGAATACTCACAAGTTTAAGGTCATCCTCGGCTACAGAGGCAAGTTCAGGCTAGTTTAGGATACATGGGATCCAGCCTCAAAAATTAACTAAGACCTTAAATACTTTAGGCAAATGAGATTTCCAATAAAGCTGTAAAACCTACCCAATAACACGCAAATGGCTTTCTTAAAATTGTCTACAATAAACTGACTAAGAGGGGAAAACAGATTTTATATCAAGTGAATTTTAACAAGGATTTTTCTGATTCTGATTTAAGAAGCACTGTAGTCACTAAATATTAATAAAAAAGCATTTCATATGCCTAAAGATGCACATAAGACCTACTTAATCTGAATCACCACCATTTGATTTTTAGAAAAGATTTATTTATTTATATGGATACTCTGCTGTATGAACATCTGCTCACCAGAAGAGGGCATCAGATAGTTGTGGGCTGCCATGTGGGCGTTGGGAATTGAACTCAGGACCTTTGGGAGAACAATGAGTGCTCTTAACCACTGAGCCATCTCTCCAGCCCCATTAATGTATAATTTAACACTTAGTCTAGAAGTTCACAATAATGAACAATTTCTTTGCCTCATAATATGTCCTCTGTTAACATACTTATAGCTTAATAGCAACAGGTCAATCTTTGGTTAGTACTGTCTACTTCTGATAGTGCAGAACAATTTCAACCACAAATACTGCTCTTTCATATTAAATTAATACAAAAACAATCAGTTCAACAATAAGGAAATAAGGCTCCTTCCCACATTTCTTGACGATAAAGAGACAATAAATTTGAGTCACTTGGATTCTTGAACTCAGCCCAAAGCTAATAGTATCACACAGCAATGTCTAAAGTAAATAGATCCTTCCTATTATTGGGGCAGAAACTAAAAAATATGCTCTGGGACATAATAAGAAACAGTCTCTGATTAACCGATTTTGAAGTATATTTTCACTTAAACTAAAGCTTTAAATTCAATAAATAAATGAGCATCTATTATCTGCCAAGAATAAGTCTTTTAGAAATAAAAGCTACCACACTTTTTAAGATGTTTTTAATATAATATACTGTCTTTTCGGACAACTGCATACCACTAATGCTAATATCCCCAATTAGTTCTGATAACTACTCAAATTTTGTTGCTGCTTAAATACAGAAATTTAAGAAGGTAAAATTCTACATAGCAAATACTTTATGTAAATGCAAATGTCCATAATTACTTCATAACTAAGTAAAAATAAACATTTTTACATTTAAACACTACCACAGTAGTACACATCTATGTTTCAATAGCAATTTCCAAAAAAGCAGAGATTTTTCTAATACACCTTTGAAAATACTATAGGTTTTTTAAGAGACTAATACACAAAAATGAGTGCACTGTTCTTATAAATTAACATACTAACTTACGAAGCAATGGTTTCCCTGATCAATAATGTATATAGTGAAGTTTCCCTGGCTACAAAAATCGAGGACAAGCCAGAATCATACATAGGAGCATTACTGCTAATTATAACCACTATTAACAGCTGTAACTGTCACTATGACTCTAGAGTTGAAGGAAGAGGAAATGGACAAAAGTTCTCCATTTAAATAGGGATCAAAAAGATACTTTATAATGACAACAAAAACCAAGAATGATCAAAAGGTAGTCTCTAAAATTAACTTTTTTAAAAAAGTAATTTTATTCTATTACAGGTTTTCTACAAATCCACTTAAACAGATAAATATGTAATCACTGAAACTCAGCTATCCTAGGAACAAACACTGTTTGTTAGTTTCCTCCCAAGAGATCAAATGTTTCAAAATTCTCTGGAACAGAAATTAAACACAACCTGTTAATAAATTTGCCTCCCCAATCCTAACTTGTACAACAGCTGTGTTGTTTATATACTGAAAATAAGGCATAAAAAAACACTTAAAGCTACTCTTTATTTCACAGGAGTCAGAAGAAAAACAAAACGCAAAAGGAAGCTTTTCTTATTTTTAACGATGTTTTTATGACCAACATCAATATCAAGAAAACCATCATATGCATAGATAGTGTTCCCTCTTACAGCTACATAAATGTATAAAACACTGATTTCCTGTACTGGATAGGAAAATCAAATACCAGGTATCACGTTAAAAGTACCACCCTTGTTCTAAATCACAAATATTAACCACTGAGCCTATATATTGTACCTAAGGTCTAGATTCACACATTCAAGGATATTACGTAAATAAGTAACCTGGAATTCCTATACAAACTCATCCACTACCCACCAACATTTCATTATACCATATTTCAAATCCTCTAAGTATGGTTCTGTACTCAGTCTTCAAGGATGAAACTCACTGGGATGTAAAATGGCCTAATGCCATTGCTTGCACATTTATTTTGCAGAATGTACCTTATCATTAACTAGTTCCTATATTCACAATATGAAGTTCATCCTGTTCTAAGGTTTATACAATAGAGAAAGATTGAAAGAAAGGATGTGCGCTCTCCAACCTTTTTTAAGTACTGCTGTGTTGAAAGGCACTGTCTTTCAGTTGCTGCACAATAGAAAGGTCATTAAACCCCACTAATGGCCCCATCATACCTTACTACTCAGTTCAACCCAGAAAGAAGCCATCCTCCCACTTTTGAAAGTACAGCTAAAGGATACCTGAGGGTTAATTTCCTGTCTCAGTCTTGAAGATTTTGACAATGGCATAAAATGGATTCAAGATCCTATTATGGCAATGACTTGATTTAAGGTCTATTAAAACAGACTAATTCCACAATCCCATAATAGGCAAATGGGCATGGGGAAGGGAATCAAGACCAAAGCCTTATTTTTTTTAAGCTTACATAATGATGATAGTATGCAATCAGACAAATTTAAGAGGCAGCAAAGCATGGAGTGTCACCTTACTAAATATACAACCAATTCAAAATTATTAAAACTTTAAATACAGGGGGGAAAACAGAGGCAAGACATAACATTGGGAGGAAGAGTACCCTTATATCCAGTGAAGTTAACAGTTAGGTCTGTTTGTACAGATCCCTAAATAATTTAGTCTAAAACAAAATACACAAAATTAGTTAAGAGTTGTATGTTTAACTGAAGACAAAAATTCTCACTCATGTAAAATAGGTTACACTCAACAAAACATTTTCCTTTGGCATATGAATAAACACTGACGATTTAAGGCCAACATAAACTATTATCAATACCTAAATAAATTTTTAATGTTTAAAAATCATGGAATTTCTAAAGCCAAGTATTTTTTATTTTTTTTTCAAAAGTTGTGTTGTTTTATTTGCCTCTTCGGAAAAAACCAATAAAATTAACCAACTAAAACACAGCATTATAATCTGCAATAAAATTGACGCATTTTTGTAAATAGTTTGGAGAAGAGGGGGCCGAGCCCAGTCTTTTTCATGTAAACATAATAAGCCTGTAATATGCTGCAGACAAACGCACTGCATGGGGTGTGGAGGACCCGCGCTGATTAGATTACCACAACATCAGCCTGGGGCCGCCATTTTTAGAATCTGTAAAGGACAAAAGAGGGAAATTACAGTTTTTACTCTCCATCTCAGAAATTAAAGGGAAAGGGGGACTGTTTCCCAATTAGGTATTGCTAACTCCAACCTGGAGCCGAATGCACCTCACTTAATTCTCCCCAAGGTCTTAGAACTCCAAACACCTTATATTTATCCACATCTCTCAAGGGTGAAGAAAATAAGAACACAGAAATTTACTCTAGTGATTTCTCTTTGACTTTAAATTTGATCGTTCTTGAGAGGCAATCTAGATAGGGCGGATCTAGGCGGAACCAAGGCCAATGAAGCAAGCACCCGGGATTGTTTTTTTCTCCCTCCTTCCCGGTTTTGCACAGGGAACCGTTTGTTTCTCGTCGCTACCGCTGCCACCGCATTGGTGCCAATCCTTCGGTCAAAATAAGCTTTTTCTGAAATGAGCCATATTGTGGATTCTAAGGCTTGGGCACAGTAGAGGACGGCGGTAATGCAAGAAGAGCGGGGGAGGAGACTGGGAAGGCTGGGGTGACCACCTTAGGGGCGGGTTTGCCCTCTCCCGGAGAGGATGAGGAGCTGTCTCTCTCCTACAAAGAGGGATGCCCAGGGCGTTCTTTTAACCCCTTTCCTATCTGGGGGAACACTGTGGCACAGAATAGCAAGGCATAAAGGCAGGGAGAAGAAAACGAGGCCTAAACGTCTTCTCTCCGCACCCCCAACAAGATGCAGCCAGAGGAGAGGAAGAGCGGGCAGCTCCCGGAACCTCTCCGACCCGAGCCCTCGCAGTCACAAGGCTCCATCACCCCAGGGGCCTGAGCCCGCCGCCAGGGCGGAGGGTGCCCCCTCCCCAACTCCCACTCAAGGGGGTTTAACTGCCAGTTTCCCCTTCCACCACCCCAAAACCCGCCACGATGCCCCCACGGCCAGGGACGGGCAGGAGAAAGAACGAATCCCGTTTCCACAGGCGGCGTCCGGCCCCAGCGAGGGCGCCCGGCTCCCGGGGGACGGCGGCCCCTTCCCGGAGCCCAGAGGGCCCCACCGCGAACCCCACGGCTCCCGCGGGCGCGACAGGCACTGACCTGTGTTGTTCGCACACCAGACGCCCGAACCCTGCTATGGCTCGACCCCCGGCGGCGGGTGCGTCCGCTCCTGGGCGCTCGGCAGACCCCGACGACAGCCGCTCGCTGCGGACCGGAGCGGCTCCACACCCCCTCCCAGGGCAGCAGCGCGCAGCGTCTTCCGTGCGGAGCGGGGCGGCGGGCGCTGCGGGCCGCGGCGGGCGCGCTGAGGAGACAGCGGGGCTGCTCCGAGTGTCTATGCCCCCAGTGCTGCCGCTCCCCAACTCAGGCTCGGTCTCCGACTCGGCCCCCTGCGCCCGCTCAGTGTCACTGCTTCTCGCTCTGGGAAAATGGCGGCGACGGCGGCGACGGCGGCGGCGGCGGCGGCGGCAGCGGCGGCGGCGGCGGCAAGCGCACGGGGGCCCGCCCGCCCCGCTCCGCAGGGGCAGGGGGGAGGGGACGAAGCCACCGGCCGCCATCTTGTTTACGGGCCGCCGCCAGGCGCGGCCTCCCCGCCGAGCCGTGGGGCCGTCAGCCAGGGAGCCGCGAGCCGGGCTGGACGCCCCGGCCGTGTCACCACCGGTGCACGCAGCCCTTCGCGGGCGGCGGCGGCGGCGACCCCGCTGGCCGGGGGGGGGGGGGCTCGGCTGTCCGCCCGCGGTGCCCGAGCGGCCCTCGAGCGTTCGAGCCGGCGAGTCTGGGGACGCCCCTCGTAGGGGGAAGGAGGACGGCGGGGCCGGGGCGACCCCCCCCCCGCCCATCGCTCCCCGGGGGTGCGCTCGCCGCCGCCCCTCCCCCGCCGGGCCTGGCCTGCCCCCGCCAGCGCGGGGAGAGCCGCGCCGGGTTGTCACTCGACGCCCACTAGCGGCCGGGGAGGCTCCAGTGCGCAGGCTCCGGCAGCCGGATAAAAGCGGAGCTGACGAGTCGGGCGCTGTCGCGATGGAGGAGCCGGACACGGAAGAGGTCGGGGGGAGAAGCCGCAGAGCAAAGCGCAGCCAGCGTCCGCGCCGCCTCCCTGCCACCGTGTAAGGGGTAAACGCCGCGGCTGCGGGGGCCGGCGCCGCCGCCGGGAAGCAGTGCCCGCCGCGGGACAGTGTGCGGGGGGAGCGGGAGTTCGTTTGTGCGGCGGTGATTACACGGGGGGAGGGGCAGGGCTGGCCTCCCGAGGCGACAGGGGAGGCCAGGCAATAACACAGGTGTCCCCACTGAACCCACACAGCCACCACGGCTCCCGCAGCCGGGGCCCGTCCCCGAAACGGCCGTTTCCGCCCTGCTGGCCCGCGGCGCGACCTCGGGTGCTCTGCGAGAGGAGGGGCGGCGGCGGCAGCCAATGGGCGCCCGGCGGCCTTTAGCCGCGCGCGTCGGGATTGGCTGACGGTGACCTCATGCTGCAGCAGCGGGCGGGGCCCGAGCGGTGGCGAAGAGGGGGCGTCTTGCGGAGGCGGAGAGGGAGGAGGGACGACGGGGATCGCCGCGGCTTCCCTGGAACCCGAGCCGGGCGAAGGAGGTCGCGAGGCTGTCCCCTGGGCGTGTGCTCCTCTCCCTGCGCGAGGTGAGGCCCCCGGCTCGGCCTCTGCGAGGCTGTGGGGCGCTCGCGCGGCCGTGGAGACGCGGTCTCGCCGGTGACTTTTGCAACTGCGTCAGGGCAAGATGGCGCCGGGCCTGGCTGGGGCGCGGGGGGAGAGGCACGTCCGCCGCAGCGCATGTGACCGCTGCATTCCTGTGGGGCTTGGCGACGACCCAGGCGGGCGGGGGAGGGGACCGGGCTGGGGCGGAGGAGCCGGGGCTGTCTGAAGAGGAAGAGATGACGGAAGGCGCTTCCCCTTCCCCACACGGCGGGCCGGCTGCGTCCCCGGGAAAGCCCCGCTCGTGCCGGCTGCGGGTGGGGGAGAGGGCTCGGCGGCCTGTCCCCTCCTCTGCCTAACGAGGACAGGCTAGGTAGGCTCTGAAGGCCAGCACAGAGTGTCTCGGATCTGACTCTAAGTTAGGAAGCCAGTGGCGAGCACCCGGGCACACTGCAGGCATGCGACAGGCACCCGCTAAGGGCTGTATCGGAGCGGGTTTAAGGGTCCCTCTGAGCCTCGCCCTTCGTACGTACTCTCCATTCGTTCCCCTCCCTGCCTTTCTGACACAGCTATCCTTAGAGATAGGGATAGGGAGCACTAGCTGCCGGTGTCTTGTTCTGTATGTCATCCTTATTTTTACAAATAAAAGATGGAATCACAAATGCTTCTGGTAAATAAATATTCGTTAACGTCCTCGAACCTTCGTCTTTAAAGCACATTTGTAATAGTATAAGGTATATTTTTACTAGGATTTAGGAATGAGGGTGAGATCGGGTTTTCCTTTTTAATCCCTAGACTGAACTGGACTCGTATGCCTGCCCACTCTCCTATTTCTAAGATTACAGGCTCTATCGGCCTGGGTACTTTTTCACAAACAGTATTTAGTGCTAAGAGAAAATGAATGCTTACCGGGGCTAGTAACAACTTTAACCTGGGTCATGGTTATGTTACTTCCTTTATTTTTAGTTGTAGGATCTTTTTTATAGTTTGAAAACAACATTTGGTTTGTAGCATTGTTTTGTGGATTTTTTTGTTAACTTAATGTGAGTAAAAGAAACAGTATTTTGTTTTTTTATTTTAAAACAATCTTTTCTCATTTTACATACCAGTTCCAGGTCCTACTCCCTCTCCTCCCCTCCTCCTGCTCTCCCCACCCTCCCTCCTACCCCACATCTCTTCCACTTCCCAGTGAGGGTGAGGCCTCCCGTGGTGAGTCTTCAACGAAGTCTCACATCACTTTGAAGAGGACCAAGGCCCTCCCCCCTGTATCTAGGCTGAGCAAGGTATCCCTCCAAAGAGAATGGGCTTCAGAAAGCCAGTTCAAGCACTAGGGATAAACCCTGGTCCCACAGCCTGTGGCCCCACAGACTGCCCAAGCCACACAACTGTCGCCCACGTTTAGGGGGTCAAATTAGATCCTATGCAGGTTTCTCCCCTGTCAATATGGAGTCAGTGAACTCCCACGAGCTGGGGAAACAGTACTTTAAATGGTTATATATTACAAAGAGTAACAAATTCAAAGCTACCCCCCCACTTACCTATTTAAATGGGTATATTGTATAAGAATTGTGAAATATTCTTTTTGTGTATAAATCCCATTGCTCCTTTACATCATTTTTCTTAGGAAAAATGAACTATGAAGACAGCTCATCATTTTCAGTAGGCTCTCAGACTTCTGCCTCAGTAAGGAGAGAAGCTGTTTCGTAGGCCAGTGGAGATGCCCTCTGTACTTGCTGCTCCTGTTCTTTACGGCTGTTGACTCCATGAAGTTCATAAGTTATTAATTTTTCTTTAATTGTGTTCAAAAGTGAGAACTGGGCTTGGTTGTACACGCTTACGTCCAGCTTTTGGGAGGCAGGGGCAGCAAAATCATGAGATTTGCGGCCATCCTGTGCTACACGGTAAAGTGGAGGGTCAGACTAGACTGCATGAGACGCTGTCAACACCTTGGGATTACTGTCACTCATCATATGAATTCTACCTGTGACTGTTCGACACTATTCTCTTCTATTGTAATTCTAGCTTCAGAGTTGTAGACTCATTGTTAAAGCCTCAGGGATTAGACGCTTTCTGAATTGATAAATTCCTAGCTTGAGTTCTTTTCTGGTAATCTCAAAAAAATTACCAACTTATTCCCAACCTTTATTTTTATTAAATGATCGTCTCTTGTTCACTTGTAATCTTAACTGGGGCCACACATAACAAATTTGCCTATGTGCTAAAATACCATCTCAATATACCTGTACATTTGTCCTACTCTCTGGAGTAAGCCTTCCCACTTCCAGACAACACAGATTAAACAGCGTCATAGTGGACTTTAGACTGTAAAAATACTGACTTTTCAAAAGGCTGTTTTGACCAGAGTTTTGATGAGAGGAAAAGATCATGGGAGGCAAACAGGGCTGGACATAATTCTGCAGAACAATGACAAGAAAAACTATTTTTGGACGTTCTTATTAAATGTAGGGAACAGTTTCATCTAAAGACTTACCAGTAGTATATAAAAGCCAATGGTTACATGGATGGGTTTATGATATCTTGATGTATTTGGAGGTTTATCAAGGTATAAAATATTGTTTACTCAGATATTAAACTCAGTTTGCAGTGGCCTTGTTTAATTCTGTTGCTTAAATTGTGTCTATGTAACTGCTTCTAGTGGCTATGGGTTTTAGTGAACAGGAAATTGACATTCCAAAGAGGGCTTTTTAACATGGTAGATAACGTGAAACTGAAAACTCATTCAGTCAAGTCTGAATATTGGTTGTTCGTTGTCTGCTCTTACAGCTTTGTGGGTATATTGCATGTATTCATTTGACACATTTACCAAAATAAAGGAGACATTCAAAGTGGAAAAACATTCCACTTTTTTGTTTTTGTTTTTTCGAGACAGGGTTTCTCTGTGGCTTTGGAAGCTGTCCTGGAACTAGCTCTTGTAGACCAGGCTGGCCTCAAACTCACAGAGATCCGCCTGCCTCTGCCTCCCGAGTGCTGGGATTAAAGGTGTGCGCCACCAACGCCCGGCAAACATTCCACTTTTAACATAGAACTGATCTTTATTTAAAAATCCCCTTATAGGTTTCACCCATGCTCCTGACATTCTCTCTTGAAAATACAAAATGATGCCAAGTTTCATACCTGAAAATAATTGGAACTGAAATCATTGGATAGACAAATGAAATATGGTTTGTTGGGCTTGGTGGCAGATCCCTGTAATCACAGCACTTAGGAGGTGGAGTAGGGAGAGTCAGAAGTTCAAAGTCAGCTTGAACTACATGAGATCCTGTCTCAAACAGGTTACAGCTAAATATGCACATGGTCTGTTGAGATTGTCTTTAAGAAGATGAATTTGGTGTTACCTGCCTGTTATGTTTTAATGGCAACAATACCCAACTCAATATTTGCAGATTAGGGATCTGAAGATTCTAAATATTTAAGAGGTATGCATAACTTAAATCCAGATGTTTTTTCACTTGTTTTTAAATGAAAATGTAACCCTGCAGAGAGGTAGAGGCAGGAAGATGAAGGGATTTAAGGCCAGCCTGGACCACACGAGATCCTGTTTCAAAAAGTTACAACAGAAAACTGAAAAAAGTAAATTTATTCCTAAATAACAAAACATTGTGAAATGCTGCTAGCCAAAAAGTGGACTCCATAAATCTCTTGTCATTTAAAGTTTAGATCATTTTGTTGCTCAGAATGGAATTTCATCTGAAATGAGACAAACCAGTATTGTACTTTTTTATTTAAAGGAGGCAAAATAGGAAGGTAACGAACATAGAGACGTGATGGTTCTATGAAATAATTCTTAGGTGAGCAAATATTGTATTTATTATTCTGACTCTGAAGCTTGCTGCCTCTAAAATCCGTGTTAACCATATGTGTAGTCAAAAAGAGGGAGGGGGATTCCTTTAATATCCAGTATAAATTGTAACCTTTGAATTCCAAAACAGCAGCTAGTGAGGAAGAACACTTGGAGATCTTTTATTTGCTTGGAGAAGTGAATAGTACTTACAAATAAAATTTCTAAATGTACCAAGTTTGTATTTGTCCTATTAGTGTTTTTGGTGGGATTGCTTCTGATTTTATATTTCTTGACATTTTCCTTCCATGCTTGTGTTGCTATAAAATGTTAGAGTGTATGTGTTGTATATAACTTAAAGTTTTAAGTTTTATCTCCTTTAGTGTAATTACTGCTACAAAACGTAATTTTCTTTGTGTATGCTCATATGCTTGTACACACAGAGGAGTCATAAATGTGTGCAGAGGAACACAGAGGCCAGAGGTCAGCAGCAGCTGTCATTCCTCAGCTGTATCCACCTTTTTCACTTTTGAGACAGCTTCTTATTCCCTAAGGACAATTGGGCTGGGCTGGCTGGCCTCTAAGCCCCAGTGTTCTTCCTCTCTCTCAGCACCCCCATTATAGCCTGGTTCTGAGGATCCCATTCAGATACTTATAAACATGGCAATACTTTACCAACTAAGCTTTCTCTAGCCCCCAAATAACTTATGTATAGCAGTTTTGCATAATAAACTGAGTTGACTATAACCTACAGTAAATGCTATTTTATACAAGCTAACTCAAATTGTTCAATGATTATAGGAATTTATTTGTAGAGATTGTGATTTTCATAGTCCTTGTTCTCGAGAGATTTTATTTTAAAGTTGCCTTTTCCAAGTATTAGTGTCAAAGCTATCGTCTGGTTTTCCTTTCTATTGTTTCTCTATTCCTGGGGAAAATGGGCACTGTGACCCTGATTTCAGCCAACAGACAACCAAATTCCTAGCTTTACATCTTAGGCTGATTAATTAGAACTTCAAACCTTCCTTTCTAAATTGTTTGTCATTTCCTTCCATTCTTTATTTTGCCAGTTGAAACTTAGGTCAGTTTTTGTGCCATTTACATTTCCTTATGAATGTTTTGCTATGTTGCTAACAACAGCAAAGCTAAAGAAATCTTCTCTGGTTAATGAGTCTTTTTGTTTGTTTGTTTGTTTGTTTGTATTGTTTTGGAGCCTGTCCTGGAACTCGCTTTGTAGATCAGACTGGCCTCGAACTCACAGAGATCCGCCTGCCTATGCCTCCCCAGTGCTGGGATTAAAGACGTGCGCCACCAACACCTGGCTGGTTAATGAGTCTTAATTTGAAGTAAGAATTTGTAATGAGATGTTGAGTTTGTTTTTAGCTAGATTATTGGTGGTGGTTTAATGAGAAGTCATAATTCTTTTGTTTTAAAGGCCACAATTTAGCAACTAAACTTGTGGGCAATATGTATGAACCTCTCCATTTATTTACATTTAAAAAGTTTTCTTTATAGGCCATTTATACCCCTCTGTCATACCTCTTCACACACACATAATGCCGAAAGCCAAGCTGCTGCTGTATTTCTGACAAGATTGACTGTTGAATTAAGAAAGAACCTGTTCTTTATTAAATTTTTCATGAAAGGTTTGTGCTTAGGGGACAGCTCACTCCAGAGAAAAACTTGAAACAGCAAATTAGTTTGTTGGATTTTTTGTTTGTTTGTTTGTTTGGTTTGTTTTTCATTCTGTAACACAATCAGAAAATGGGCATCAAAAAGATTACTAATCTCTGATGTGTATGAGAACAGTAACATGGTTAACATGGTAGGTTTCTTAGGTATCTGATCTTACCTATCTGGTAGGTTCTGTGTTAACTGTTAACTTTGTTTTTGTGCACCTATTTTGGCCATTTAAAGAGCAAATGAAGTAAAAAAAAAAAAAAAAAAAGAATTGAATATAACTCATCCTTTTTGTTTTGCCCCCATGAGGCTCAAATCCGAGGTCACCTAAGTGCCAGTGCTCTGCCCCCAACCTGCGCTTCAGCCTCAATTTCCTTGTGTGATACTTGATTTTCTAACGGTGAAGCGTGGTTTGAATCAGAGGGTGGAGCTAGCCATTGCCTGACCAAAATTAACCATAGAGGCTTTGGAAGACTGAGGAAGTACAAAGGCGGGGCTTAGAGAGGATTTCGGCCCTTTTGGAGGAAGGAGTCAAATAGGAAGTCACCGGTGGCTTCTCCATAGTTTCTCAGATCATTCAGGTTCTTAGCCCAATGTCTGACTCCTGATTTTTTTATTGAAAAAGAATAATTAGTTAAACACTTTCAATAGTGGAAAAGCAGAAACTGACTTCTTTTGCATAATTTCAAATAGAGAAATGGTGACTAGAATCTCAGTCAAGTAATGAATGAAAAGCTAGGTTTGGACTGTTCTAATCCAAGTAGAAAACAGGGCAGCCTGTAAAATCTATAGTGTGCTGGGTTATAGATTTTATTCATCCCTAACACTACCACCCCCCAAAGGATAGGAAGGAATTAAAGTTAGGAATAGTGAAAAGTATTGATTTCCTAATGCATTTTTCTTGATAGGTATACATGAAAAGGGACTCAAAGTAAATATGAGACTTGGGTGGTGGGTGGGTATATTCCTACCACCCAGGAGGCTAAGATAAGCTCATGTTACAGGCCAGTCTGAACTACATGTGTATGCATTCTGGCATTTTAAATTCCATCCTGAGATCTGTGTAACAGATAAGTCTATATTTAGCAAAAGCCGTAACTTAGCCAAAATTTTGCTTCCACTTCAGAAAATACATATCAACTGATTTTCTTACTGATCTCATTATCCATTCTATTCTCTTATTGAAGGGTTTCATGACAAGATAGCTCTGTGTCTTACAAGTCACTTGTCTTAAGACCTGAGTGCTGGAATGAAAAAGGTGTGTACCACACCTGGCAAGAAAGATAACAGAATCCGTAAAAGCTGATATTTTAGAGCTCAGTAATTACAAACATACCAGCTGACTTCCTAAATTTGAGGCGCTGGAACTTTCAGGAAAATGTGCAGGCTTGTAGGCCTTCTTTAGAGCCAATAGGAGTGGTTTTGGTTAAGTGAAGGTCTCATTGTGTAGGCAGGATAGGTGCTGGGATTGTAGCCCTCCAGTGTCATGTTCAGACCTGCTTTCTCCATCCCTCATCTGTATCTCCATCTATCCTTCGTTTTTTAAATAGTTTTGACCTTGCAAGGATATACTTTGATTGTAAACTTTGCAGCTTTTCTGGAAGAACTGATCTTGTTTATTTTATTAGTTGATATTTATCAAGGAAAGTATTGTGGATTAGAAGACTTTGAGTTGCTTGAGGGGGGAGTGCTTATATATAAGAACAACAGGGTACTTATTAATCATAATATACAGTCTTTGTCAAGTTACATAATTGTTTTATTTATTAGTCATTAGAACTTTGCTTGACAAGTTAGAGTTGTTCCTTCTGAATCAAGGACCTTTTTGCTTCATACTCTAGATCTTTTTCATAGGAGCCTTTTTACTACATGTAGGAATAAATGGTTAAGTCCTCTCATTCATAGGCTGTTTGTATGTAGACACTATGTTCAAGATTGCTTTTTGTTAGTGATAAAACATTAACCAAAACAACTTTGGGGAGGAATTGTTGAGGGAAATCAGGATAGGAATAAGCAGAAATAGTGAAGAACAATGATGCTTTCTGGTTTTCTCAAGCCCCTGCTTAACTAGCTTTCTTACACATTGAAGGACCACCTGCCTAGGCTGTCTTATAGGGATTAACAAAATGATCCTCCACACACATGCCCAGGGCAATCCCTCAGTTGAGACTCCCTTTTGTGGTCTGTCAAGCTGATAGTTAAAGATAAATAAATACTTAAATAAACAGATAAATGGAATTAAGTGTTTCATTAAAATGCTTATGTAAGGGCTAAAGAGGTGGCTCAATGGGTAGCTTGCTTGCTGTATGAGCATAACAGCCTGAGCTTGGAGCCAGGTGCCCACCTAAAAAGCTAGACCTGGCAGGATATGCCCATATTCCCAGCACTGGAAATTGGAAACGGGAATTGAGCTCACCGGCCAGCCAGTCATTGAACTCTAGGCTCAGTGAGCCGTTATCTAAACAAGTAAGGGAGGAAGAAAGAGACAGACCTGTCAACCTCTAGCCTCTAAAGGAACATGACACACCACACAAGGATACAAAATGTAGAGACCAGTGCAAAGACATTCTTCCGTTTCTTTCTGGTGGAGTATTACTATAATGGACTTTTCCAACATAAGAAAATTGGAGATTTTGTAGCCATTTCTTTTATAATTCAAGATAACCATCTGGGAATGGAGTGTTCCAGTTCTGCAGGATCATCAAGCATTTAACATTGACGTGAGGGCCTGTTAAAGCGATATTCGCTGCAAGTTACCAGGGAAAGGTATAATGCACTCTGCTCACCCCAATTTTCAGGAATTCTGACGTTTAACAAAATACTAGGATTAGCTCTAGGAATGTGTGGAAATTTTTGATGATAAAATTTAAGGGGTTAAGGAGCCAGCCGGTGGTGGTGCACGCCTTTAATCCCAGCACTCGAGAGGCAGAGGCAGGCGGATCTCTGTGAGTTCGAGGCCGGGCTGGACCGATAGCCTCCGAAGCAATACAGAGAAACCCTGTCTCGTAAAAAAAAAAAAAAAAAAAAAAAAAAAAAAAAAAATTTAAGGGGTTAAGGAGATGGCTTAATGATTAAGAACACTTCTTGTTTTGCAGAGGACCTGGGTTTAATTTGAAGTACCCACATGGCAACTTACAACCACATGTAACTCCAGTCTCAGTGGATCCAAAGCCCTCCTAACCTCCAAGAACACCAGGCATGCATGTGGTGCTCATACTTAAGCAAAACACTCAGACACACAAAATAATAAATGCTACACCAAACAGTAAAGTAAGTCTTAAAATCAACCAAAAGCCTTAGAGCTTCAACACTAACGATCTCTAGTCTTAGTTGGTGAGTTGGTGGTGGTGGTAGTAGGGCTCATCTTTATCCCAGCACTCTGGAGACAGGCAGCCTGGTCCACAGAGTGAGTTCTAGGATAACCAGGGCTGCACAGAGAAACCCTATCTACAAAACAACAAAAAAAAAATTATTTGAAATCTTGTATATCATCTGCAGATTATCACAAATGTTGGTCTTGCTAATTCAGTGTAAGCTTTGTAAATATTACTGAAGGAGCAGAATTTAGGATTAACCTGAAGCAATTTTAAGATGTTCGGTATTAGTTAATTCCTTTCCATGTTTTGCTTAATAGCACCTTTATACTAAAACATTTATTTTGATCAGATTTTTCTTTCCCTCTGGGCCCCTACATTTAACCAAACAGTCTCCTAGATTGATTCTGACCCTCAAAACATGAATAAAATGCGGGACTGAGTAGTTAGATGGCAAATGATAGTTACATTTTTTAATTTTCAGCTCCCTTCATGTGTACTTAATAAAAGGTGTTGAAAAACTTAGTGTTAACTTTTTAAAGGATTTATTTATTACATATACAATGTTCTGCTTGCATGTATCCCTGCAGGCCAGAAGAGGACACCAGATCTTATTACAGATGATTATAAGCCACAATGTGGTTGCTGGGAATTGAACTCAGGACCTCTGGAGAGCAGCCAGTGCTCTTAACCCCTGAGCCATCTCCAGGACCAATGTTAACTTTTTAGTTGACCTTTGATTCTTTAGTAATGTTTTCATAAAATAAATCATGTTAGCTACTGGTATTGTAATGCTAAGTTGTAGACTATTTGAAATGTTTTGTGAATACTTTTGGACATGTAAGTGTATGATTTTTGTGCTTCTGTTGCAATAAACTTAAGTGTGTTCTTTTGTTTGGAGTTTGCTTTTGCTTTGTAACCACTTCTCGTTTCCTAGGGCACAGTGCTTGGTGCTTTAGTTCTTGCTGTAGTGATCGGTCATTCATAAGAACTCCGATAATTTGAGATGCCGGAGAGCTTGATGATGAAGACCAAGTTCAATTAAATACCCAACTATCATCTACTAAGTTCCTATAATCATGCATGTGTACATGAAATTGAGCTTGACTTCACTCTAAGTAGAATAGGAATAAGAAAACCATAGTAAGCACAGACTAGGGTTGAGTATTTTTTTATGGATTGTTAAAAGCAGGAGTACCGTGATAGAAGGAATATGTATCAGAGATCCATTAGTATAAAGAAATGAGGGGAGCACTTTCTCTGGGATCCAGAATACAAATGTTCAGAAGTGGCTAAATGGATACATACATTATGGTTACATACATTATGTCCCAGCCATTACATTGAATAATATGCAGTTATTAAGGACAATTACCTGTCCTGTGGGGTATGTTTGGGGTAGCCACATGTGGTAATCCCAACACCTGAGAGGTTGCCGGCAGGAAGGTCAGGAGTACAAGGCCAACTTGGGCTATGAAAGAGTGTCTCTGAGAAGAAACGCAAACAGCCCCGTACGTTTAAACTGTAGTATTACTAAAAGACACACCATGACAGCCCAGTGCGTTTAAACTGTAGTATTACTACAAGACACACCATGACAGCCCAGTGCGTTTAAACTGTAGTATTACTACAAGACACACCATGACAGCCCAGTGCGTTTAAACTGTAGTATTACTACAAGACACACCATGACAGCAACTAGAAAGTGCAGATGCACTAGCTTTAGTGCGCCTCTGGCAGGGCCTCTACAGCCTCGTTCCTGGACAGTTGGCAGTGCCACAATGTTCTCTAGAGAGCTACCAATATCCTGCCTGCCTTCTTAAGGAAACGGAAGCTAAAGTAGACTTTGTAAATTAAGTAACTGACATATAAAAAATTGCTTTCTCGTTGGGCAGAGGCAGGCAGGTCTGTGAGTTCAAGGCTACATGGAGGAAAATAAATTGCTTTCTCACTGAGATTTGACCTTTAAAAATAAGACTACAAAGTTAAAGTTGAATGCAATGGAATGACTAATTTCTCTGAATACTTTTTTACTTGACAGGCTACTAATAAAGTTAAATCGGACATAATAAGCACTGTGAAGATTTTTTTCTGTAACATGATGGACTGTAACTGAGGCATAAGCATTTTATAAAGTAATTATCAAAGCTATATGAGACTTAGAAATTGACCAAAAGTGAATATCCCACAAGCATCTTTGCTCCGAGGACAGCCTTCAACAGTGATGGAGATTTTAAAAGCAAAGACTATCAGCCAGGCCTAGTAACAAATGCCATATATCCCAGCACCCCAAAGGTAGAAGTGGATCTCTTGAGGTCCTCAAGGTCTATATAATGAGTTAGCCAGGACTAACCCAGTCAGACACTGACTCAGGAAAGTTGTGGGATAGAGGGTGACAAAGGTTTTATGTTTGATCCTGGTCCTCAAGAAAATAGAGCAATGTATTTTTGTTTTTACTTACTTGCTCCTTTAGAGACCTGCCAAGTCCACGCCCTATGTAAACAAATGTGTTTTTGTGGACTCAGAGGAAGCAAATATCCATTCTACCATGTGGATACAGGTCTAATAGGTGTCTCCGGGACACTGCCATACGAGAAAGTGTCAGTTTTATGTTTGAGGGTCATCTCACTGGATTTAACCAGCTAATTTTATTGAAGGTACACAATTTTTTCAAGGCAGGATTTCTTTGTGACTTTGGAGGCTGTCCTGGAACTAACTAGCTCTTGTGGACCAGGCTGGTCTCGAACTCATAGAGATGCTCTTGCCTCTGCCTCCCGAGTGCTGGGATTGAAGGTACATAATTTTACATTTTTATTCCAGTCTGCTTGATCCTGAAAAGCCTACCCCCATCCCAACTTTAGCTTGTTACCTCAACCTAGGCCCCAAGTCAGTATTATCGAAAGTAGTAAGAATTTAAGTTTTAAAATAAATGTAGTGCCACACACCTTTAAGCCTGATTATATGGTGTGCTTCAGGACAGCCAGAGCTACACAGGGACACCCTGTCTCCAAAACATCAACCCCCCCTAATTTTTATTTTTATCGTTTATAAGTGCTAGAGAGCCTAAGTTCACTTTGTAGACTTGGAATGTATTGTTTCAGAGGGTTAGTGCCTTAACCAAGCACTTGTGATACTGATTTTCGCATGAAAAGACCACAGCTACAGACAGTCCCGTGCATGGTATAAACTAATAATCAGCAGCCTTGAGCAGTCGCTGGCTTTTAGAGACCTCTTCTCCGAACGTTTGAATGGAAAACTGCATGCTTTAAAGTAAACACGTATCTTCATTAGTAGAGGTCGAGGACTGACTACTACCATTGGGAGGGGTTTCGCCCAGCCAGATGTATTGACACACTTGTGTAGTCCGCTCAGCAGTAACCTATCGTTATGCAAATAGCCATTCGTTGGGCGTTTTGAAAGTATTCAGGACTTTGGTTACAGCTTTTTTGGTAGAGCACTTGCTCGATACGCTGCCGGTCATGTGTTTGATTTCTAACTTTGTTTTGTTTAGGGGGAAAGTTATCACCGTGCAGTTCCTGAATGGTCTGGAACTTGCTTTGTAGACTAGGCTGCCCTTGAAATCTGCCTTTTGAGAGCTGGGTTTAAATGTATTCTCCATCATGCCTGGCATGGGCTTAAAAGGGAGGTAGAGGGGTAGGGGCTGAGGTGCAGCTCAGGTAAAACACTGAGCTCTATCACCAGCACCTAAGAAGAAAAGTTAGAATCCAGCCATAACTGAAAAAGAGTCGTACTAAGAAAACAGAGCTGGGCATAGTGGCAGCCAGTGCAGCCTTGGCTCTCAGGAAGGGTGGAAAGCTGGAGGCTTAGCTTTTACAGAGCGTGCCTTTTGATAAGATTGGTTCCACGGTCCACAGAAATGAGCTTAAATGATTTCAGTGTGGGTTGCCCAGCAAAGATGGTCTCAGACTGAATACCAACTCACCCCTGCCTCAGGTTACAGGCTCGCCACAACACACAGACAGCACTGCGGGATTCCCTAACCAGAAGTGCATCTGTATTAATGCTTCTGAAGTGTGGGTGCCTTCTCGGAATGCTGTAGGGGTGCATTACGTAGTGCACACATCCTTTTAAATTCTACCTGAACACTCCTGCTTAGAAATCCTTTGCAGGATGTTGAGATTCTAAAAGAAAGCTGACAAATAATGAAGCTTATGTGGAATGGTGTTTTATACCCTATGTGGGTCAAGCGTAATTACATAAGACTAGCCCCAAAATCACTTTGTGGTCAAGGATGACCTTGAACTCCTGATCGCCATCGCTAGTGCTGAGACTGCAGGCATGTACCACCGTACGCAGCTATTTATTCTATTAAAAGTTATTTTAGGTTTCACCTGGCGCGCCCCCTTCCCTCAACTGACATTAGAAACCAGTCCAGCTAAAGTGGCTGCGGTGAAAAGGTGCAGGGAGGGAGTTTTCTTAGGAAGAAATACGGAAGTTCCATCCTCTTGAGCCCGGTTTGACTGACAATCGAGAGGTTCCGTGGCTTGGCTTTTATCCTTTGTGGCAAATAGCGCTTTTACGTTTACTGTCTCTAGCTGGCGTATCCTAACGAGGAACAAAACCCAAGCTCCTCTGTTGCGGCTGCCAGCCCTGCTTTACACCTAAGAAAAACCTCCTGGGGAGCATAGCGTGGGCCCGTGCCACGAAGCAGGGCGCTCCCGGCGCTGTCTGCGTCACTGCGGCCTCCGCCCGGAAAGGGGGCACCGGAGCGGCTTCCGGGGGCGCACGGTTCTGCGATCCCGGCCGCATTTCCCGGGACCTTCCTGCCGCTTCCTTCCCGAGCCGAGCTGTGCACTCCCGACTCGGCCCGGCCCTCCGGGCTGGCTTCCCGCCCACGGTTTGGGCTCGCGTTGCCGCCATCTTCCGGAAATGGTGGTTAGTCCGTCGGTTGCGCGGTGCGCCCAGGGGAAATGACTATTTTTGGGTTTTTGGAGAAGGTCTTGCGTTTGGACTGACGTCCCAGCCCCAGGTTACAGACGTACAGCAAGTCTGACGGTTTCATGATGTCCCGCTACTGAATGCCCTCTTACAATCCCTGTGCAGACTGAAAAGAGAATTAATCTCGCTTAAATTAGACTGATGTATTAAATAAGACAATGCATGCAAAAGCCCCAACTCTGTATCAGGCATACTTGTACCTGATAGTAACGCGGACTGGGGGAGTGTATGTAGGGCGTTGCTGGATGTCACCACCCAAAAACGAGTAAGACGAGGACAAGTCACGGAGAAACATGCTGTGGCCTCTGACCTGTAATGCAACCGCGTGCGTTTTGACAGCTCTTCCATAGGACTGACCTATCCAAAGCAGCCTTTAGTGATTTATGTTGTCTAAGGGTGCTTCTTTTTAAGTGACTTACTCCTTTTTTGCTGAATGAGTATACTTTTATACTTAATGAATATACTGTAGGATGATGGATAAGTCAAAGTTTGGTAGTCCCATCAGGGTTCTACTTTACAGGAAAAAAAAAAACAAGTAGACTGAATTTAAAGTACATTGTAGGTTTTTAGGTGATGGTAGACTGCACTACCCTTTTGTTACACACACACACACACACACTTTTATTTTTATGGTGTTGCTTTATTATATTATAGCTGGCTGGTTTAGAACCAGGAATAGATTAGGGGGCAAGAGAGGAGTGGTTTTTTGTTTGTTTTTTGTTTTGTTTTGTTGTGCTGATGATCTAGCAGCTGTGTGTACTTGTGATAACTTACAAGTCAGTGAGGAAGATTTAAACAGTAAAAGTAAATAACCCAAAACATGTGATTTATGCCTAGTCTACAGAGTCTTAATACACTTAGGAGCAATATGAGCATTTCTGTTTCAGGGTCTGTTGTTAATCTCTGCAGGACTCTAAACCCTGATCCCTTCAGACACTATTCTCAGTGGCCCAAAAGATACTGAGTGATACAATCAACAATCACATGTCTCTATTTCTGAGGCTTAAATGTTCTGTGCTGTTAATGCTTTGTAGCAATGGAAAATAATAAAATGTATTTCATAAATCTTGTTGCTTGCAAAAGATGAGTATTTTGTTTGTTGAGGAAAGAAAAGGTGGAACTTTGATAAATCAAAAAATAAAAAAATTTCAGAAACTGGAATTCTGGGTAGCTGTTTTCTCTAGAATTTAATTAGGTATGAAATTGTTAGTCTAAGGTGCCGCTGCTTTACTTGTCTAAAATAAAATTTAAGAGATGAAGTGTGCCCATATTTAATTCTTAAAATTTGTTCTCGGGGCTGGAATTGTAGCTCAGTAGTATTAGTAGCTTAGTGCATTGCCCAGTGCCACACACTAAATAAAGAAGCCATGAACTGAGTAGTCTAAAGTTGCTTTCATCCAAGTTGCTTGTGTTTTCTCTTTACCACTTAGCAAGTAGAAAATGCCTAAGTGAAAGGCACTTGAACAGCAATGAGTATCAAGTACAGACAAATTGTTCAAACATACCACATGAGGCTTTGTTTTTGCTTCTGTTTGTTTGTTTCCTAACTTAGTTGGAGAGATAAGAACACAGCTTCTTAGTTACCATAAAATGCATCATGCTTCCTTTGGGGAGAGCCTTTTTTGGCTTGGATCCATGTGATTATCTTGTACCCTGTGGGAACTGCATTAGCAAAACAGTTGTCACAGTTTGTAGCGCCCTCTAGTGTTTTATTTTCTCTTTACAAAAGTATAGTTTATTCTTACTAAGCTTTAGCTAAAAGAAATGTGAATGTTTGCCATCTTCGTGTGACTTGTTTTACTTTTCATTACATCCAAAGAGACTCCCTTGTGCTATGCTCCTCAATCTTTATAGGTTTAGTTTCTGTAAAATGAAGTGCCAGGTTAGAACTGTCTAATAATTAAATGAGCTGTAATGTGGATACCTGACACATAGTAGGAGCCTAATACTAACTTTTTGTTTTGGTTTGGGTTTTGGTTTTTCAAGACAGGGTTTCCCTGTGCAGCTCTGGTTGTCATAGGACTGAAGATAAAGAATCAGGTGTCAGAATCCTGCTGGTTGAGAGAGTGAGAACAGTAAAGAATAAATCCTAGATATAATTTTAATTCTCCAGTACCATCTTTATTAAACTGTGGGGGGTGGTCAGAGGACAACTTTGTGGAATCTGTTCTCTCCTATCTTGCTGTGAATTCTGGGGACCACACTCAGGTCACCAGGCTTGCAAGGCAAAGTGCTTTTACCTGAGCCACAAAGTGCTTTTACCTGAGATAATTTGTGCCATTTCTGCAGTCTGGGAGCATGCTGATTTTATTCGCATCTGTCACGGTGCCTATAACTGCACATGCTCAACAACTTAGTCTTTTAATGTTAAAATTGACTTAGAAAGCAGAAGACAAAGAAAAGTAGAGAATAACATAAAACGGAGCTGGGTGTATTAACATGCCTGTAATCTAGCACCCAGAGAACAGACACAGAAAGATCACAAGTTTGAAGACTTGCCGGTTCTACACAGCAAAGTCCAGGCCAGTCTAGACTACAAAGTGAGAACCTGTCTCAAGACAACAATAACAATTGACTGTTTGGATTCCACTTTCTGTTTTTCAAGCTAAAGGCTTTTGGAGTAGGTGACATCTGAAAAGCTGTGAGCAGGATTTGTTAGCATTGCGCAGATGCAAAAGCAGACTGTTCATAGGAGACCACACGAGTCCTGATTTACAGACCAAGGCCCAGCACCACTAAACTCTGCAGCTAGAATTTATTTCTTGTGGAACAGCCCAAAAGGCATGTTCTCTGTAGTTCTTTTCCTTTGCTAACAGCCAAGGACTTTGGTACCTAACACTACTACCTCCTGGATCCCCCAGAAACCCATGTACCTCAGGAGAGGATTAGCTACTTACCACTTGTGTGAGCTCAGTCTTTGATCAAGCCTAACATCCCTATGCCCAATTTTCCTGTGTGTCATGTGTTAGACATGTAACCATTGCCTCGATTTCCCTTCTGTTGCCTTTGGATTAATGCTAACCCACGTGAGTTTTCTTGTGAACTGGTTAACCTTTAGTTGAGCATCTGTTAATGTTAGCACATTGTACTGAATGGTTTTTTTTTTTATGTGTGTAACTTCACTTTCACAGCTATGACTAGTATACAGGGTGTGGTCCCCATTTTCTATGCAAAATTTCTAGTGAGTCTGCTAAGTGGCAGAGTCAGACTTCTAACCTGAAGTTGTCTTTTTTTTTAAACTCAGTGGCCACAGCTATCAGAGCATTGTAAAGAAATATTTTGAGTGAAAACAATTTGGGGAAGTGTGAGAATCTTGGCACTTCATTGAGGCACTAAGCCCAGCAATTTTTTAGGTATCTTGATTTCAAGGAAGCCCCCTTGTCTGACCCTGATGTAATAGTAATTATGGCTCATGGTTTAGCCACACCTTGCGGTTTTGGAAGGCTGGCACATGAACGCTGACATTTTCTCTTTTAGGGAGCCTTTTGCATTTGTCATCCTTTAAGCTGGGGAAACAAGTTTTTTTCTGGCAGAATCCTACAGCTGCTATTATTTACCCTCAGGGGATAAGCAGCAAATCCCAAGCCTTACAGCTGGGAAAACTGTGATCTGGCTGTGCAAGCATATAAAAGGAATCTAGACAAAGCGGGAATGAGTTCATACATACGCCAGCCTTCCTACTCTAGCTTTAGGCAATGAGCTCTCTGCGGTAAGCCGTGCCACAGTACTGAAAGCTGTCTTGATGCACACAAATTCTGCATGGGGGGCGGGGTCTTCCATACCCACATTCCCTTTCAGTTAGGGCCGAGCACGTGATTTCTTTTAATTGCCTTTCCTGTCTCTGGCCTCAGCCCTCGACTTCTAACATCTAGTTCTTAAAAGCGTTCCTCTGCTTTACACCTTAGTCTTTTCCATGGATCCTGGTCGGTGTTAGAGTTTCTGTGGGTGGATGGTTAGCAATCAAAGCCGCAGACACTGGCATGGGGGGTGCAACGACTCCGGTGGAGGGGCCATAGCTGAAAACAAATGAGCCTCTTTCGTGATCCCAGTGAAAGGTTTGTGGACCCCTAACTAAGGTCTGCTGTTTTGGCAAGGCACTAGAGTTTAGGGAACTAAAGAATAAGCAGGAACTAGTTTCCCATCTCTAAGAGTTTTTTGGCAAAACTTGTGTGTCTAAGAGAGCCTGTTTTTGAGTCTCAGTTTCTCTTTCTGAAGACAAGGCTCGGCATTTTTCAAAGCAGCATAAAGCTGAGCTGTGTTATCTCCACAATCTGGACGTTTTTGAGAAGAGTCAAATCTTGAGAGTGTTCAATTATGTGTGCAAGTGGAGGAAACCCAGAGACGGGATCCCACGGGGCTTTTAATTCACTGTTCAATTGCACTTGGGGTTATAAGACACTTTGGTAATTTAACATTTTAATATGGGTGTGCCTGTTCTGGAAATTTACAGCTGTTTACAGCAAATAACAACGCTACTCATTGAAGATGCTGACTGGGCTGGAATACTGTCTATTGACTTTTCCAGCCTCTGGACCAACTCAGTTCTGGAAACAAAATGAGCTTTGGCTTCACGTGGAGCTTCAAGTCCTGATACTTTGTAACTTTGCAGGCTTCTTAAACAGGAAATGAAATAATAGCCTCTTCCTGGGATCCAAGAACACATTCAAAATTTCTGAGGGAACTCTAAGCTGTGAACTGTATTTGGTGTTCAATTTGTAATTCCAATGAGTTGGCAAGCAACCATTACTAGACCATAGTTACCAGTGGAAGAGCTTGAGATCAACCCATCTTTAAGTGATGGCAGTCTTGTTGAAGCTTACAAAGAAGGCCCTTTGTGATCCAGAAAGGTCCCACCCAAAACTCTGGTCAGTGAGCAACCTCAACTAGGAAAGCAAATATATTTATTTTGTACTCTTAACACCCAGCCATCAAATTGAAGATTTCTGTTAAGTTGCTATTGGCTGGAGGACCTGGTATTCTAATTGCCACTTAGGTAAGGAAAAAGGGAAAAAAATGGTTTATCACCTTGACCATAGCATGCTGAGTAGTGCTTACAGACAGGCACCCAGATTCCTCACCCACAGAAACTAGGTTAATTGTTGCAAG